TCTCTCTCTCTCTCTCTCTCTCTCTCTCTCTCTCTCTCTCTCTCTCTCTCTCTCTCTCTCTGCCCCCTCTCTCTTTTCTGCGGTCAGCTCAGCTTTAGCGGACGCCCCGTCTCCGCGCCCTGCATCCACGCACCCTCACACTCCCTCATCAGCTCACCTTACCGCCTACCCTGCACGCCAAATCCCACTCTACCCCGCGTTCTCCGCACGCAGCGCGGCGTCGCCGGCCAGGGTTTAGCGGGGATGCTGAGGAGATGAAAACTGCGGCCGGGGCGGCGGCAGTGTTCATTAGGCGAGCGGGAGTGCAGCAGCCGCATCCGCGCAGACGAGAGAGCGAGAGACGACTATCGCGTGGAGGAGTTGGCATGGATACGCGGCCGTGAACGATTAGAACTCTCGAGCTGTGTCATCTCTGTACATATACGTAATATAATTCGTGTGGCGCTTCTCTCCGTCTGTCTGTCGCGCGCGCTCTCTCTCTATCTCTGTGCGTGTGTTCATTCAGCAGTATGCGCGCTATCGCAGTGTCTGGGATAGCGCTGGGCCTACTGATCTGTGCAATAACAGAGGCCCGTCCCCCACAGGATGACGACGACGACGATACCCAGGGTAAGATATCATAGCAAGAACTCAGCGTAAGAGAGTATTGTAGTATCGTATAGTATAGTATAGTAGAGTAGAGTAAAGTAAAATATAGTAGCGTACAGTAGAGGATTATATTAATAAATTGGCGTAGAAGAGCAAATTACTTTTATAATAGGATAGAGGATGAGGATGAGGATGAGGATGAGGATGAGGATGAGAGTGAGGGTGAGGAGAAGGGAGAAAGATAGAGCACGCGAAAAGGAGGAAGCGAGAAAAGGAAACGAGAGGGCCGGAATTATGATGCCTGAGAATGAGAGGAAATGAAATGAGATGATATGACATGGCATGGCATGACATGAAATCACATGACATGAAACGGCGTGATATGACATGAAACGATGTACTTTTATAATATAACATGATAAAATGTGCTACGATGCGAGGATGCGACTTTGCCCGCTACAGACGAAGAGTCAGATGAAATGAGGTGAGATGATGAAATAAAAGGATTATCGGCTCAAGATAATGACTTGCGGAATTAGATAAAATTGCGTCACGGTCGTTGTTTTACTAATGACAGCGCTTACGTTACGGCGGGACAAGATCACACGCGACAGAGACGAATACAAATCGTCAGTATGTCAATACGTCAATGTATTGTCTCCCTACCGTCTCAAAGAACCCCCATCCCTCCAAGTCGCAAAAATAAACTTTTAGAGTTAACTAACATTCTAGAATCCTAACATTTCTAGAAACCACGATGCAGTGACCCCCCCCCCCCCTATTTACTTGCTCGCGAGTTTCCGGCACTACTAGCATATCTGGCCACTTCCCTCATGCTTGAATATTTTTATGTAAACTTCTGGCAGTAGTAAATCATCGTGTGTGAGGTTGAGGCACATGGCGTGCCTAGACGGACACCGCTCGAACTCGACCTTAACGACCTTAACTGTCTTCCGCGAGGGCTGAAATCGTCGCGCTACGATCGGCGGAAGACTAACCGTAAACATTTATCTGTTTACTACACGAACTGCCGCGGGGTAGGAAGAGCAGACATCGCCCCGACACGACAGCTTTGATATGAACTTTCTGCTCCTCTTAGAGGGAGAAAGATGGCGCATGCTGCTCGGAAAGCCTCGTGAGTGTGGCAAATCTCTCTCTCTCTCTCTCTCTCTCTCTCTCTCTCTCTCTCTCTCTCTCTCTCTCTCTCTCTCTCTCTCTCTCTTGTGCACATGTGCATCCCTCACTGCGACCTGATTTCATTTCAATTTACATCTGCTGCAAAGTAAGCAAAGTCTGACCGATCCAGCATGTTATCAAGATGCAGAGTAAATAAACCACATTTAGAGTTATAAACTATAATATAATGTGTTCCTGATACTGTTACAATAAAATCATATGTTATATTTATTCATGTGTTATGTTTATGTGTTATGTGTTATGTTTGAAAACATACGGTGAGGAGAGAGAGAAAGGGTTAGCAATGGGCCTTTGGTCACTGTATGTTGGGAGTTTGCTATATTATATCCCTTTCAGTAATCTAACCAGGCATGTACGTGTTACGATGATTTGGTATATGCATCGAGCTAATTTATAGCTTATTTCATCTC